AACATATAAGAAAAGGGAACCACTTAGCCATGGGGGCATGATACCTGCCCTGCTCATCCACTAGCTCATCCACTAGTCGTTTTTCCTTGACTTTCTCAATGATTCACTTTTTTCTTATTATAAAATAAATTGTTTAACAAAAAAATTATAGCTGTTCTAGGTCCTTTGCAGATGGTTACTCAGGTAATTTAATCACTGTCCTGTGAGGCGGTGCTAAGGCGGGAGGTGAGGTTGCCCAGGGCACAGGGTTGTCGGGTGAAGAACTGGTGGCGTGGCCTGAGGGTCTGGGGCTCCCTCCACTCTGAAAAGGGGAATGGAAAATGTGAGTTGCACCCCGCCCCGCCCCAGAAACAAACGCTCTGAGTATTTCCAGAATATGGGGGCATAGTTACATGGTTACATATAGAACATTTCGGTGTATAGAAGCATCAAAGTTTGTTTAACCAATTTCCCTTTGTAGCATGTGTTTTAGTGGTCCTGCCTGTGTACTTCTGCACCCTGGTCCTCTTTCCTCTACACATGTTTCTCATTTTTAGTGCCATCTCTTTACTTTTGAGGAGTTTACTAGGCTTTCAGAATGACTTAAAATTCCCCTGGACACACACCCACAGGCACCGCTGTGTCCTCAGCGCGGAGGAGTGGCTGGGGAGTTGCCTCTGGTGGACTGCTGAGGGGGACCGGTGGGCTGCAGCTTAGGGCAGCGCTGGTGGCAGAGATGACCCTGACCAGCGGTCGGGGGCCAGGTTCAGGATGGGGCCCAGGGACGGGGCCAACAGTTTGCATATTACATATTAATAATCAATTACTGAAGCTGTCATTAGTAAATCATGGAGCTGACGTTCTTCTTTATTATTAAACAACAGAACGATGCTAATGCTATCATTTATTAATTATTTAAGTTTCATCACTTAGTATTAAGCTTTGTAGTGTTTGACTAACACTGAAAGTCAGAGGAACAAAGGTGTGAGACCGAGCCAACCAGTTTCCATCAGGATTTTCTTCTTCCTGTGTTCCCGCGAGCTAGAGGATCTGTGTGTATGCACCAGTTCCTGCAGCTCCAGTAACTTCAAGTTTGAGGATGCTCATTACTTGGTAGTAGAAAGCCACAGTGGACAGCCATACTGGGTTGGCTAACATCCCCCCACCCCCAAAATCAGTGTCTGCTGGGACCTCGGAATGTGGCTTTGTTGGGACATAGGGTCTTTGCAGATGGAGTTAGTTATGATGAGGTCAGCGTGGATCAGGGTGCACCCTCAATCCGATGAGTGGTGTGCTTAGAGGAGAGACAGGAGCACAGAGGGAAATGCTCTGGAGAGACGAGGGAAAGAGACCACGTGATGTGGGGGCAGAGACTCCAGTGGCTCAGCTTCGAGCCCAGGAAGGCCAAGCTTGGCAGGGAGCCTGCAGGGGCAAAGTCCTGAGACTGTCACCCACACAGAGCCAGCCTCCCTTGGAGCGGAGACGGTGGAAGGGAGAAGGAGCCCACTCCCTCTCTGCAAGTGTGGACGCTCGGTAAGCAGTGCCGGGTGAAGGAAGATGATGCATGCTGTGAAACTGGGACTCCAGCTTGGCATGCCCTGGCCCAAGCCAACATCCTCTTCAGCCAGAGGAACCTCCTCACCCCACTTGCTAGCTCTGCGACCTTGAGAAAGCAGCCTCAAGGTCCTGGACCTCGGTGGTGTCCTTACTTGTAACGGGTGAACCTGTCTTGGGTGATGGCGAGGATTAAACGTGATAATGTGTGCAGAGCCTCAGTGCATGATCGCTGGCCCAGAATGTTAGCAGCTTATTGTTTGCCAAAGATAGAGGTAGCGTTGCTGCATATGCCCCATTTCCTGTTAACCCTGTAATGGTCACGTCACATCTCCCCCCGGACGTCCTCCTCCGTCCAGTAGCAGGGAAGGGCAGGAAGCCCACAGGGTGAAGCTGAATCCTTTCCTGTCCTCTTAGACTCTCTTCACATCCCCGTGTAGGCGGGTTGAGTAACCATGCTCTGTCTATCCCCTCCACAAGGGAAAAAAAAGGCAGGGAGAGAAAGCAGGAATCTGACATGCAGAGGAATGGTTATTGCTGGATGGGGGCTGGGCCAGGGCACCCCAGGAGGTGTGTGTTGGAAATTGACACTCCGAAGCAGATGACACACGTGGACCTTGTAGCCTAGGGTCAGCGCCAGACAACCTGTGGATTGGATGCCCAGGAGCGTTCCCAGGGATGGCAGACCTCAGGATGAGTGTGGGGTTTATTCCTGGGGGGTGGGAGCAGTGATACGAAAACTTGTATAATGAAATAAACTTACAGGAGGACCGGGAACCCCCCACCTCCACCCCCAGTGTCACACCACCTCTGTGTTTGGTCATACAGATCATGGGGGTGGAAGAGTTTTGAGGAAGCACTGAATTTTAGCCTTTGCCGTCTGCACAGTAACCCTGTTCCACAGCTTAGGAAATTGGGTGGCAGGTTATTTTGGTTCTATGACCCTTTCCCAGAGCTGGGGAAGAATGTGCATTCTCTCTTGTCCCAGTGTGGTTGTCCCCTCTCAGCCCTCGCTCCAGTTCGTGGGGGTGGGGGTGGGGGTGGGAGCAGGTAGATTCGGGTGCCCAGGCTGCCCTGCGGCATCACCATAGGTTGGGGTTTGCAACCGGATGTGCGGGACTCCTGGTGCCCAGGGTCCCCGCCCCTTATCTCTCCATAGGCAGGAGTCCGTTTGGATCAGGTGCAGTGTGGGACTGCCCCTCAGTGTGGGCAGGATATCTTTCATGCAAAGAAATGATTAGGATATGGCTCTTCGGTGCTTTTGGACCTACAGCCAGGAACTGTCCTGGCCCCCAGAGAAGACTAGCCACAGATTCTAGTGCCAGATGGTGATTCAAAAGCAAAACCAAGCAAAACATCCATATTTTTTCCTGATCGTATTAAAAATATATGCTTATTGAAAAAGAACCTCAACCACTACGGAAATTGAAAAGTAGGAAGTGACCTTTTCGTAGAATGTCATCCCTGTCCTTTGGCAGTGAATGTTAATGGAAGGAGTCAGAAAACCCTGGCTTGGAATCCTCGCTTGACTCTTTCAGTTTCTAAAGGTCTCACGCGAGGGGAAAAGTCCTGCTTCCCCCCCCCCCCCCCCCCCCGCCCCAAGTGCCATCAGGAGAGTTTGCGGAGGTGTTTGGTGAAGTTACGTCCAGGGCTGTCACTGGCCCAATGTGGGTTCAGTTCTATTCTTTGTCCCCATTCCCACCCCTTTGCTTCTGATCTTCTAGGAATCCAGAGTCGGGAGAGCAGAGTGTCTAGAGAAGCCCTTTGCGTTCTCCGTTTGGTTGCTGGCTGCACGACTGAGCTGCTGTCTCCGCCCCAGCTTTTGCTCTCTTCTCCGCTTGTTGGTGTTGGCTAGCTCTGGCTCTCCTGCCCAGGTTAGGCAAGGACATGGGGCTGTCCTGCCAGCATGTCTGCGGTGTCCCAAGACATGGGCCTGCCTCTGGTCTTGGGTGTGTCCTCCCAAGGGTTCTAGAGAAAGTCAGGCAAGTTCAGACGGAATACACGTTCCTCCCTGCAGACTCCCGAAAAGCCCATGACACACACCGTGTGTCCCCTGCCAGTCATTTACCTGCACGACCTGAGTGTGCTTGGCGCACTGAATTAGCTCAAGGACGACACTTTCTCATCCTTAATTCGGAAAATGAATAGAAAGGAGACCCCCTTTTAATTTCTGGAAGCACAGGGAAGATGTTTACCATTCCGCTGCATTCTTGGCTGCTAAGAAATGACAGTGGTTAATGTTCAGGTATTGAGCTGCCCGTGGGGGGTGGGGGGTGGGCGGGTGGGAGGCCATGGGTAGTAATATTAGCTAATATTTATTGAGTGCTTTCTGTGTGTGAGGGACCGCTGTGCACTTAGCATGGATTATCTCTTTTTATCCCCCCAGCAGTCCTGTGAAGTAAGGACAGTTGTTAATTTCTGAGGACGAAGGCAGACCATGAAAATGCTAAATAAGCCTCCTGGGGTACACAGTGAATAATGGAGGCAGAATGCAAACAGAGCCTGGGTTTCCAAAGGGGATATTTTCCTTCCAGAATCTTCGTGCATCTCTCTGCTCCACTCCCTCTGGGAAATCGGTTGGGCATCGTCCACTTTTCTTTTGGAATCTTTTTGCCGTCTCTCTATTAGAAACAGTCTCCATCATTCTGGCCAAACAGTGTAACTAACACGGTAAATGAATATCCAGTGTGAACATTCGTCGAGCATCTGCTTGCTGCCATGTTAGGTTCTGGGACATAAAGAATTTAAGGATGATAGAGTTGCTGTCCTCGGGCCACTCCCTCGCAGATTGTAATGGAGGAAGCTCAGGGCTACCTACAGATGTTGGCAGTTCAGCATGAGGCCGGAGATACGGAGAGAGTGAGGCCTGCATGCTTTTAGAACATCCCAGGGCTGATTATTGGGGTACCAGGCAGAGCCATCGGGCCAGAGGAGATGACAGGCTTGGAAGTTAAAATCCACATGGTGTCTGTCACTGTGCTGTGGGAGTCCTCAGGGAGGGGCAGCAGTGGGTTCAGCTGTGAGGCACAGAGGGATGATGAGAAAATTGGGAAGGCTGCACAGAGGAGGGAAAGGGCTTTGCAGGATGAGTAGAAGTTCACCAAGAGGGCTGAACAGTTGGAGGGACAGTGGAAGCAGATGCCCCGAGGAGGGTCAGCAAATGGCATGTCCAGTGTGGCCAGAGTGCTGAGGATGCTGTAGCTGAGGCTGAAAGCTTAAGAGCTCGGACTGTGGGGCCTTAGTCCCGTTGGTGTTATTACCCCTGTGTTACTGGGATTGTGGTTTTGTCACCCATGTGCCGGGACGGGACTGGTGTCTACGTGTAGGGGCACTGAGTGATTGAGGGTCATGCAGCCTCTGACCTACAGGGCGCTCCATACCGGTAGCTCAGGGCGTCACCTTGGACCTGACTGTGAGACCGTTGACTAAGCCTGCAGGTCTGAGCCAGGGGAGTGACATGATTAGACATGTCCAGCGACCCGGTTCCTCCCGAACGGCAGGTCCTCCGCTTCCGGCGTGTGCCCAGGCGCTGCGGTGCTCTCCCCGTGCACCGTCGCTTTGGCCATGACCCTCCGGGTGCCCGCGAGCTTGCAGGAGAGGGAGCAGGAACGCTGAGCTGTGCCGAGCCTGCCGAGGGCCCTGTGGTGACCGTGAAGTCAGGGGACCGGGTTCTGGTCAAGTCTTTGGTCAGTTGGCCACGTGACTGTGGAAAGTCACTCGTGGTCCCTTCTTCCGCCATCCGAATCCGTGTCTCCTCCAGTGTGACGTTGGTGGCAGCCAGGCAGATCACCGAGGCACGTGCTCCCTGGAGCCCGTCTGAAGGATCGCAAGAGTGTGGCCACATGTGGCTAGTCTTGAGCACTCAGGACTCTGCTTCTTTTCTGGTCTCCTCTAAACCTCCCTATGTGCTCAGAGTTTAGAGTGCATGTATTCCTTTTCTGTTTTCTTCTCTGAGACAAAAGGAAGTTCCCGATTCTGCTGGTCCTGGTTCGGTGAACTCGGACAACCCGCCCTGGTGGGCCGGAGCTGCTTGTCTGCCAGATACACCCTGGGACGACTTCCAAGGGCTGGGTGGGGACAGTGCGAGACCCTGGGCGTCAGGAGCCCTGCACGGGCCGGCACAGAGGATGCCAGTGAGGGCAGGCCCCGGCCCCCGCCTCCCACCATGCCCAGCAGCAGGTGCCCACACTCATCTCAGGCTGCAGGCTCACTCCTGGACCGGGCTTTCTCCAGTGAGTTCTGCAGCACCCCTGCATCCCTACCACCTGGGGACCCATGGAATCGACCCCAGCCTAGGCCTACTGACCAGCCTTGCTGTGCGTGACCTCGGGGGTCTGTACTGGAACAAGTCCCCAGTGATCATGAGGGCCACTCAGCTGCGAGCCCACGGCCCAGAGAAGCCTTCTGTGTGCCTACTGCCCTGTAGGCCCTCGGTAGGTGCGAGTGATTCTCACACACACACACACACACACACACCACCACCACCACCACCACCACGAATGTTGGAATGCCACCCAGGTCCACGGAGCTCTGGACACTTGAGTTCCCTGTCAGGCTTCTTTTCTGGACTACTGTTCTGACACGTTTTTGGTGAATTTTCATCTCTGCTGCTTCTTGATTGCTTTTGTTCCCTTTTCTCCCCTCCCTCCCTTCTGCTGTCTTTCCCTAGTGTTCGGGTTGCCTGGACACTCTGCGGCTCCTGACCCCCTACTGCTGGTGAGCTGGGACATGGCGGGGTGCACCTTCTGAGTGGGGGGGGCAGGGGGCGAGAGTGGGAGCCACTAGGGTTCCCCACGGGGCTCGCTGGTAGACGGGCAGACGGACACAGCTCCTTTCCTGCCTGGCAAGCCTGGGGGACAGCTCTGCGGCGTGGGCTCCCTGTGCCTCGCGCCCAGCCCGTTGGATTTCTGTTCCGTGGTCTCTTCCTCCTGCCCCACTCCCTCCACTTTGGGTTTCATCCGCGTCCTGGGGGCAAGGTAAATGGCCCTGGTTTACTTAGTGACATGTGCCTGTGTGGCTTGAAGTAAGACCGGTTTCCGTGAAAGTCAGAAGTGCATTCCAGAGTCACAGCGTGACCTCCCCGGAAGCCCAGCTAATCCAGGTTTTAAAGAGGAGTTGGAACAAAGGTGGTGATTATGGGATGTGTGAGCTGTGGGGTGTGGGAAAGGGCAGGGACAGCAGGATCGCCTGGTGGGAAGCTCTGTTTTGAGGAATCGAGCGAATGGCCCCAGAATGGGATCCAGATGCTAAAGGGAGGCGGGGGCTTGGGGCAGGCATGGACCCGAGGGACCGTGCAGCCCGTGGTGCTGGGCTCCATCCGCCCCCCACCCCCTTGCTAGCTGTGTGACGTCGGGCAAGGGGCCTGCTCTTTCCACGCTGCTGTTTCTGTCATTTTGGGATAGGAGTCCTGTCCCTCAGGTTGTGATCATTAATGGGCATTAAATGGGGGAATTACAGGGATCTCTTCTGTGATTGGCGATTAGTCAATGCTGTTTTGAGCATTAACCCTTGCTCTTACCCTGAGCATCTTTTTCCTTCCTCCCAACTGACATCTCTCTCAGGGCCCAAGTGATCGTCATGGGAACAGTGGCAGTCCCGTGTGGAGCTCCCTGAGGCCCCAGGGCACGTGGGCTGCAATTGTTGGTGTAGTCCTTAAGTGGATGGTTTCTCATTGGCCCGTTTCTTTAATGAGATGTGAAGCTCTTTGCAGGCAGGGGCCCACGTGAGATCTTGAGTCTCCCAAGTTTCTTTCCTGGAGAACATGCTTGCCTGAGAACCTCTGTACTCTATCTTCAAGGGCAGGTCCTGCTGTTCTGTGAACAATTGCCTCCTTGAGTCATTGTTTGGTGGTTCTGCTCCAGGGTACTTTGCCCCCTTTTTCATGGGGATCTGATGGACATTCGGGTCTTTGTTGACCTTTCCTGGAGGGATATTGTGGGCGAAGGCAAACAAAAGGAAGTGGACAAAAAATACTCCCAAACCTTAAAGTTTTGTCATTTGTAGAAGGAAAGCGTTGGTGATTTTTCTCAGCCCTTTTCAGTATCTGAATCACCTTGAAGCTCTAGAGGGAGGTGGCGGGGAGCTGAGTAGGTGGAAGCCTTCTTTCACTGAGGACCTACTATGTGAAAGGGCTTTACACAGGCCAACTCTGACCCCCCCCAACTCTGTGAGGCAGGACCCATTTGGCAGGTATGGATGGGGGTTCCAGAAGTGAACCTCCAAGTGTCACGGGTAAACATTGGGTCTGTCCCTTGGCATAGCCTCCCCTCCCCTGCCCTCTGTCTGCCTCTCTTTCTCTCTCTAAATATTGCTGTTGTTATTCCTCTCTGATCTGTTCTAGCTAATGACACAGAAGGTCACTGTGAGGGAACCCAGGGACCTGCTGTTAGGACAGTTTGGATCCCTGAACCTGTTCGGGGCCTCAGTTCTCGCGGGTCTGGAGGACAGTTTGTGGGAAGTGCCATGTCCTCACTGGTACCACTCACAGGTTTGTCCTCTCACCTGTGGGTGGGGAGAGGCAGTCGGGGTCAGTTGGTTTTTGGGGAGACCAGCTCCCCATTCCTGTCACGACAGCCCCGAGGCTGGCGGGCATGTTGCCCGGGGAGTCTCTGTTCGTTGACCTTTCCGGCATCTCTGTCTTCTGGAATCTTCTTATGCGGTCACCCTGCCCCCAGTCTGTCCCCCCACATTACCCTTCTGTGGCAGGGCAGCCTCGTGGTTAAACAAAAAGGCTCTGAGGGGCGCCTGGGTGGCTCAGTTGGTTGGGCGACTGCCTTCGGCTCGGATCGTGATCCTGGGGTCCTGGGATCGAGCCCTGCATTGGGCTCCCTGCTCGGCCGGAGGCCTGCTTCTCCCTCTCCCACTCCCCCTGCTTGTGTTCCCCCTCACGCTGTCTCTCTGTCAATTAAATAAATAAATAAAATATTTTAAAAAACAAACAAAAAACCAAAAAGGCTCTGGAGGCAGGGTGCGTGGGCTCATATCTCAGCCTGATCTCTGACACTCGTCCTCATTTGAACATGGGTTCACACCTCACAGCGTTGTTGAGGTGACATGACTTACTGCGGCCCATGCTCTTGAACAAGCCCTCAGGAGGTATGGTTCTTCCCTGCCCTGCCAAGCCTCTGCTCATGCTGCCTTCTGCTGACAGCACCCTGCACCTACCGAGTTAAGGAGCTGCTCCCCTCCCAGGTGCTGTGTGTCCAGCTCTCCTTCTCACTTGAGATTTGCTTCTCATTCTGCATCCCACAGGTCCTAGCTGGGCCTTTACCTCTCTGGTAAGGTCACTTTACCTCTCTGGGCCTCATTTCTCAGCTGCTCAGTGAGGGAATCGAACCAGATTATTCCAAGGTTTCTCCCACTCTGACGTGCAGGGGCCTCTCACATCCGGTAGGTTCTAGTCTCTCCTCCTCTGTCCTGGCTCCGGGCACACCACCATCACAGCCTGGACACCACCCAGTGTGCTCAGTTACGGACATGCACTGTCTGCACGTTCACTTCTCTGGGTCTCTTGGTACGGCCTGGAAGCTCCCTGAAGGCAAAGATCCTGCCTTTCTCGATTGGCGTGATTTCCAGCTCCCAGCATTATTCCAGCCAACCCTTAATGAGCAGGTGTCGAGTTCCCACGTGCCGTGCAGGACTTCTGGAGCCTGGCTGAACCCAAATGCCGGTATTTCTGAAGGCCAGCTCTAACCAGTGTCCATCAGCGCTGTGAGCAGGGCTCCCTTAACGGAGTGCAGGTGAGGGTACCTGGCCGTAGAAGGGCTCATGCTGGGGGGGCTCCCTTGCCCCTCCTGTGTAAGCCCACGGTGTCCGACACGGCACAGAGGATCATCAGACTCTCACTAACATGAGTGAACGGGACTGGGCTCACTTTGCACCTCTCATGCCTAACTGGTGGGAATGACCAAAGTACTGGTGGATCGGGCTGTCTGAAGCTGCTAGTCCATGTGAGCTGTGAGCCCCCCTCGGGCAGCTGTGCGTGCTGAGTGTCTCAGAGACAGCCTCTCATCCACGTGTGGACCCCAGAGGACATGCCTTTCCAATTCCTTATTTTTATTAAGTAGACAAGGGAACACGTTCAGAGAGCTTAAGGCGTGTGCCCACAGCCAGTGACTGACCACGGCATCGCGATTCATACCCGGTTTATTTTGCCCACAAGCCCCACCTCATGCCCCCCGCCCCCTGCATCCCCTGGTTGATGAACTGGGTGAGTGCAAGGGGGAGTGTGTGCTGGAGGCTTGGGAATTCCAGAGCAGCCGATCCGTGTCTTCCCAGCACACGCCAGGGAGAAACTGAAATGAAGCAAGAATAGAGTCTGTCAGTGGGAGGACAGTTGCTGCTTTCTCTGGGAATAGATCTCCGTGATTTATCTTCCCAGGTGAGGCGGGCCCCAGCTCTCGGGGTATCACAGAGAGACAGTGTGACTACAACCAGCAGAATCACTGCCTCTCCCTTCATCAGAGAAAGATCAAGTAGACACCTCTTCTGTGGCATCAGCGACGAAGAAATCCTACCTCCCAAGCGTCGGGGGGGCCCGCTCAGAGTGTCCGGGAGCTGCTGTGTCCTGCCCGATGGCCGCTGCTTTGCCCCACCCGAGGCCAGCGTCCACAGGTGCTGAGGTCACCATCTGCTGATGCTTGCTCCGGCTGACGTGGACAATGCGACTGATCGCTGTTGCAAGAGCAGAGATGGAGGAGAGGGAGAGCGCCCCACGGAGTCCGGGACGCCGAGCAGCAGAGAGGGGACAGCATGCAGCCAGGCACACCTGGGAGATGCTCCCTCCGGCCCCCACTGCAGACCGTGCTTCTCTCACGCGTGGGTGCCAGGGGCCAGCTGACCTGGCTTTGCACAGTCCGTGCCCTGGACCCCCATTCACCGCTCTGGGCCAACCCAGGACACCTGGAATCTTCCAGTTCCCAGAGCATCCCTCCGTGCATCCCGCATTTAAGGGTTACTGGTGTACAAACGTGCGGTCTCAAGTGTTGGGTAGGAAATGGAGGCGGCCTCTTTCTGTTTTTCTTCAAAATGCCCACTGCAGGGGGGCCAGCTGGTGGAACTAGGGAGGGTCAAGAAGGAAATGACCTGTTTGGGCCAGACAGCCCAGGAGGCAGAGGAGAGAGAGAGAGACTCAGCCAAGAGAATGGGGCTGGGGGCTGTATTTTCTTGTAGGGCAGTTCCAAGCAGGATTCCGTGCCACCAGGCCAGAACACGTTTATTTGCAGAATGTTCCCGGCCCTCTGGGGGCAGGGTCAGCTGCAAGGCAGTGGGCCGTGAAAGTACGGAGGGGCAGAGAAAGCTGTCAAGTGCCGATTCCCAGGCCTTGAGAATTGTTCTGGAGTCTGCAGCGTACTTACACAGGACACACTAAAAAAACGTTAACCAACTTTTCATTGAGGTGTGACATGCACTAGAAAATCCGTGTATCCTAAGTATGTGGATGGCTTGGTAAGTGTTCACAGATGGCACATGGGTGTGTGGCCAGCACCTGCATGAATGGAAGGTCATGAGTGTATCAGGAGCCGCACCTGATACCTTCCGGTCACTGTCTGTCCCACCTCACTCAGGATCACTTTGTCCTGACTTCCCACAGCATAGATGCATTTAACCTGCTTATGTGTTCACGTCTTACTTTTTTAAAAGATTTATTTATTGGGGCGCCCAGGTCGCTCAGTCAGTTCAGCATTGGACTCTTGGTTTCAGCTTCAGGTCATGAT